AGGGAAGGGAAGGGAAGGGAAGGGAAGGGAAGGGAAGGGAAGGGAAGCAAGGAAGCAAGGAAGCAAAAGGAAGAAAGTAGCGGTGGTGGTGGTGGTGGTAGTTGTTGAGTTCAGTCTTTTTCTTGGAACACAGCGCCACATGTTAGGAGGAACTCTTGTCATGGATGCGAAAGCATTTGCTCACATGTTTCGTCACACACGAAGGCTTGCGAAGGCATTTTGCGAAGGCCGTGTTTTTTACGCACGTGCTTTGTACAATGCAACATCGTACAGCGCCCTCGCGTAGGCAAATACGCTTGGGGAGACAGATTGGCGAAAGCTTCGCGGAGGTATGTACCTAGTGGCTGCCCCCCAGACCATGCAAATGTGGATACTTTTCCTAAGCCGCCAAGTTGCTTATTTGACCCCACCCCCTAAACAGCCTGTTTTTGTTTGTTTTTGCTGTTGCACTACACCCTTGAAATTTGGCTTGGACTAACAAAACGATGAATTTAAGAAGGGTTCTTGAACAAGTTTTTGAGGTAAGGTTTCCGTGAATCAAGCAATCCTCAGAGGAGTCAAGCAAGAATCTTACAGGGCAACATCAATAATCCCGAGTACCTATTAAAAAACGGACCCTTATTTAAAATGTCGTGTCGGAAAACCCGAGATATGGTTTACATTCGGTTTTTAATTACCGCCCCTTCAAACTGCTACTAAACTACCAACATTGGGGAGGTTTCATTTTATTCGGTTCCTCAAAAACTCCCTTTTCACCTAGTAGTAGTAGTAGTAGCAGTAGCAGTAGCAGTAGTAGTAGTGGTGGCGGTAGTAGTAGTAGTAGTAGTGGTAGTGGTAGTAATTAGTAGTAGAAGTAGTAGTGGTGGTAGTGGAAATCATGCACCTGCCACGAAATCTGCACTTCAAGGTCAACAGACTACTGCGCCTGCCACGAAATCAGTATTGGATCTGCAATGAATTCATCAATGATTCAAGGATCCTTCCACTGACCCTATTTTGGACCACCCCGATTTCCGGGACCCCCTATTTTAAAAATGCGACCGAGGCGTCCTTATTAGGGGCGGGCGTGTTTTTTATTAGGTGGACAGGATTATTTTCTTAGCGCGCCAAGTTTACTTATTGATCCCGCCCCAAAAAGATCTTTTTGTGAATTTATATGACCCTCTTGAAAAATTGTTTGGAACAATCAGTTCGATGCGTTTTGATTTGGGTTATTGCACAAGTTTTCAGGCAAGGTTTCCTTGAAAATTGTGTTAAACAAAGTTCTTAAGGGGCAGCAGAAGGATAGGAAAGTGATCGATCTGTTTCCGGCGCAATTACACCTTTTTCCGACCCAGTACACTCGGATGAAACGACGTGTTGGTCAAAACGTCACAAGGTGAGCCTTCCCCAAGGACGCCGCAGAAGGCGAGAGACCGATCGCTTTCCTCGTTTCCGTTCGGACCGATCGCTCGCGTTCGCAGGTTCGTCGGCGTTCAACTGAGACACCGACACCCTCCACGTGTTCACCAAGTCCGATGAAGGCGCATTGCGCCGGCCTTTGTGTTTCTTGTTTTTTGGCCTTTTTAGGATTTGGACCAAAGGCAGGCGCCATTAATCAGCCGTTTTTCTTTGCCTGCCTTTCATGCATTCTCAGCGAGCAAAAGTCGGAAGAACAAATGTGTGAGCGTTTTGGATTTGATTGGCCCCTCTTGTGCAATGAGATTTGGGCGTTGACATTTGGCTCCTTGTCTACTAAGTTACCGGAAGAATTGGCACACCCTGTCAAACCAAAGGGTTCCCAAAACCAAAGGGCCAAGAACTTACGATCTTTTTTCGCTCGATCCATGAGTGCTTCTGGCATGACCCTCTACGTTTGTCTACCGTGTCATGATCCAAGCCGTCCCTTGAGCACGTTACTTGCTTCGTTAGGCCGTAGGCCTCCAGAAAATAAGCTACGAACCGGGTTAGCTCAGTTCGGAGCTACGATCCATTTGAGCAGTGAAGGAACACCTCTTCGAGGAAGGAATGGAGTAAGTCAACTTCTTCACACACCTTCCTTCGTCTCTTCGAGTCTTCTCCCTCGGAATTACTTCACTGCCGGCGACCACCCCCGGAAATGCAAAGGTCCGCTTGTGTGCACAGATGAGGAATTTCTGCAAGTGCTGAACGCCAGTTTGGACTGCAGTTCGAAGTGGTACAAATGCAGTACGCGCCGTACGCGCAGCAAGTTTTGGCACGTTCAACCCGGATTCAACTCCATCACTGGCGACTTTCTAGCATGAATGTGCCTTCTTGGCTCATTGTCTTCACTCCTTGACGGGCCGCGAAACCACTTCACAGGAACCATCTTGCTCTTAATAGCGATGCCCTTGTTTCTAATAGCAAACATTGTTACTACTAGTTAGTCATTTGTTCCTAGTAGCGATGCACTTGTTACTAAGGCCAGGCTGAAGCCGTCAAATTGAGATGAAACACCAGTCGTCCGTCCGGTTCGAAGTAGTTTTAACGAAGCCGACGATTGAGTCGACAATTCGTTCTTTGCCATATATTCGTTCGATTGTTTAAACAATAAATAAAACAACTGTCCCAACGATGTGTGACGTTTTTTGCAGACACGAGGGACGCAAGGACGCTACTAGGGGCTCCTGGCCTTACATGTTCAATTTTGAGGATCAATCATCGTTTTGCAGGTCCAGCTTCCCCAGCTGAGAACACTGTGCGTGACACTCGGTTCCCGTCTTGTCGTTCCCGGAGCTCTGGTCACAAAAAGTCGCAAAACACATCGAATGTAACTCATTCAATAACTGCACATGTCAATCACTATAACTGTACTTAACAAGTGTTTCATCGATCTACGTCTTACGCAAGGTAACTTGGGAGAGTCACCGCTGAAGGAGGCTTGTGTGGGCACTTTCGCCAGAAAACGCTTTGAACAACTGCGTGTGGCGCAAGTGTATCCTTGAGAGGTGTTCAGTTTATGTTTCGGTACAAACATGTTCAGAAGAAAGAGAATACATACGTCTTCATGCAAACAATTTCAAACATGTCGCCCATGCTCACATTTGGAGGTTCTCGAGCTGCTGAGGACAGCGCTTTTGGTAGAAGTGCCACACTTTGAACGAAATAGAACATGTTCTGAAGAGCTTGTAACGTCTTCTTGGCGCAGCTCTTCAGGACACACCGAAATGAACCTGCTGGCACACCAGGACAGATTGAGACCGTGCAAGGTTTGGAGACGCAAAGAGAGATGAGATGAGAAGCAAAACGAGGCTTTTGCGAGAATCGAGTTTAAACAGCTTCAAATGGAGTGGCCTTGGACAAGCGAGAACGTTCCGTCTGAGGTCCACTTGTGGTTGCTTTCCCACATCCGAAGTTCCAAGCTGCTTAAGCTCTGTGAAGAAATCTTGAAGAAAGCTGTGTTCGTCAGGAGGGAAGAAGCTGGCTCAAAGATGGATTTTGTGACGTTTTCGTTCGGGGTTTACCGGTGAAACCGGCGGGGGGGGCGCAATGCGCTACGGCTACAGCTGCGCCAGCAGTTTTTTGGGGACGGGGCCACGAGATGTCGTGAGAAACAGGATGTAGCGTTTTTCTTTGACATCGTCTTTGATGACAGATCTTTTTCACTTTGTTCTTTTTATGTTTTTCATCTCATCGGCTGTGTGGCTCTGACAGAAGATCGTAGGAAACAAAATGATTTGCAGATAAGATGAACTCTTGGAAAAAGACATGAAGGACACAATTCGGAATTTGCAAACAGGGCACCCCGCTGTGGAAACAACCAAAAGAGCCTCCGAGTCATTCCGTCGGTGCATGAGACATGGCAGGCCAGAAATTGGTTTCCATCGGCGCGTTGCAAATCCAGCATGATTTTTTTTTCAATATGCATCAATCCGCCAGGTTCTGAACGAGCAGCGGGGACCTTGGAACAGTCACGACTGCATGGCAAGATGCAAAAGCGCTGTGAGGCTAGGAAGACACCTTCGTGGGATGCCGAGAGGATGTCCCAAAAGTGCGTTCGGAAAGATAGGAAAGATAGGAAAGTGAAAATGTAAAAAAAACAGAAGTTCCAAGACACCTTCTTTAGTTCATTATAGTTCACCGTTTGTATTTTTTCGACCAAAGAGGCCAAGTAGCAGCTCTTCCTCGGGCATCAGCAGTGCATTGGCTGCCATTCCTAAGAGTCGGCCAGAACACCCAGAGCTACGACGTATTACGACGTGTTCCGTTTTTCATGTGACGATCTGTTCTCTTTTTCTCTTTTTTCAATAGATGTTCTTGTATTACTTGTATTAGTTGTTATCTTTTTCGCCAGGTTTTGGCCCAAAGCCAAGCCGAAGGAGCCGAAGGAGCCGAAGGAGAAGGAAGAGAAGGAATCTGAGGAGAGCTTCGGGAAAAGAATGTGTTTAGAGCACGAGATGTTATTTAGAGCACCCTTCTTTTTGCCCTCACCTTCCACCGGCTTAGTTTAGATACGTGGATGTTCATGCTCCAATCACGCTTGTCACGCTCCGACCTCCGTCAAACACAAGCGCCTTAAGCTCCGCTACTGTGTTCGGTTTCAGCCATTGTGCACGAACGCCGTCCTTTCCCTTTCAACCGTGGCACTTGTTACTAGTAGCGTTCTTGTTACTACTAGTAAGGCACTTGTTACTACTAGCGTGGCACTTGTTACTAGTAGCGTTCTTGTTACTACTAGTAAGGCCAATCAAACACAAGCGCCTTAAGCTCCGCTACTGTGTTCGGTTTCAGCCATTGTGCACGGCACATGATGATGTGCGCAGAAATCTGGACACGAACGCCGTCCTTTCCCTTTCACTCGTTG